ATCTAATTAAGACAGGTCTTACATCATCAACATTATATAATACTTTTACTGTGCCTAGATTTAAGGTAAACTAAATTTGTCAACAAAAAGGTAACTATATATATATAAATATATAAATGAGATGAAAAACTTTAGTCTATTAAAAATAATTATATTTTTTAAATGTCTATCTAAAATAATCTCTTAGGATGGGTAACTTAAACTCCTAAAATTGTACTAAACTAAATAATAAAAGTTTATTAAATAGCTAGATCATTTCCAAATAAAGTAAGATTTTAAAATATTAATTACTGAACACTAACTTTCTCTTACAGAAAAACTAAGGAGATTTTAGACTATCAATAAATATATATATATAAATATTTATATAATAAAACAAATATATATATAATAAATATATTCACCAATCTATAAAATGCTAATATATAAGACTTCATAATTGCTAAATTGCTAATATAACACTTCATAGTTGCTAATAAAAGATGTATGCTTTTAATAAAAAGATATAAGAAATGGCAAATAAAATGATGAATACAAAAATATAAAAAAGGTTTATGACAAATGAAATTTTATGGCAAATGGATGTAACTCATTGCCCTGAACTTTCTTCCTCTTCCTTCTTACATGTCTCGATCGATACAAATTCTTCTTTTATATGGGCCACACCTCTCCGAGGTGAAACTACAGGACATGTTATAACCCACCTGTGAGCTTACGTTGCAATAATGAGAACACCTAATACTATAAAAACAGATTATGGCCTATATTTCTAAACAGCTCAATTTTTACATCCATTCTCTATTAAACAGATTACAGATATTCCTTATAATCCAGAAACACAAGACATAGTTAAACAAAGATATCACACACTGAAACTACAAATAAAAAACTAAATAAGGGGGAAAACACAGGAACACTTCTATCTTCCTTATCCAGCAGACTTTATTAGATTCCAACGCAATATATTCTCTAAGCCTATAACTATTGTTATATAGCTTTATTTGTTTTAAATTTTCTAAACTTACCACAAGGAGATATCTTGACAAGAGCAAAAAAAATATTTTGAGGAATTGAAGGACTCTTCTCTTCCTCTGCCCATATGGTACCAAGACAGGTTGAATAAACAATGGAAATCTGGGAAATTAATCTTACAGGGAAAGGGGTATGCTTGTATTTCCCCAGATGGATTCAACGAACTCACATGGCTTCCTCTTCGGAACATCCGACCCAAGGGGGCCCCCGGTCTTCAAGATAGAGGCAAGACAACAAAGACTCCAGGAGGAAGAAATTTCAACATGGGCCATGGCGGCTCTAAAGATCTCCAGAAAGCACCGCCCTCAGCAGCATCAAACTTATGATCTCCCCTCTTGAAGACAAATAAAAACCCATTACTAATCAAGGTGAAAATCTGCTTTCTCAATAGAGAATGCCTCGGAGTCCTGAAAATATTTTTGTTGCCCTGCTTGCTTTGGCCTCACCCCCCCATTCGCCCCCAACCCCCGCCACCCCTCCCTGCTCGAGCTGAACTAATTAATCACACTTACTGAGCTTACATACCCAACACCCCTTTACTTCAGGTCATAGAATGGACAGAGAGAGGACCAATTAACCAATGACTGCATATTATTAACCAATGACTCCATATATATGCCGTCTCCCTGGAGCCTTAAAGGGCCCTCACACCCTGAAGAAGAAGGGAAACTAATTAATATCTTTCTAGGTTATGAAGTCCTTCCTCTGTGTATGAAGTCCTTCCTTTGTGTATGGGCCCAGCAAAATTATGCATAAACATTAGCCGACAAATTTGGGCTTTTGCCCTGCTTCCAAAAGAGGACTTTACGACGTTGCTTAGATTATTTACTGCCCTTTCTTTGTCCGTGAACCATGTTTATACTACTGAAACTTTAGGGAAAGAGTTAGGGAACAAACAAAGAACACGATGCAGAGTGTTTACTAATAAGAATTTTAAATTTGCTCTGGTTCGTTGGGACAGATATCAGGCCAAATCAGGAAAATTAATGTCTGTGGCTAATCATACAATTGTCGATTGGGGACCCCATGGTATGTGGTTATCTAACTGCTCAGATGACATTAACAGCACTGTGTGTGATTATGCTACTCAACTACCATAGGTTACTAACACTGCAATGGAACATTACCATGACAAAGGACTTCTTGGCTGGCTTGGTGGTGGAATGGCACCCCCTCGTCCTCCAATCATCCTTGATAAACAGATTGGGCCTGAACAATGGGACATCTGGAAACTTGCTGTGAGCTCCGAAGAACTTGGGACTTGGACTGGACATTTCACAGGGACCAATCGTAGTCATAGAAACTATTTCTTTCGTTACAATCAATCATGTCATACAAGCCTGTGTTCCCCTCCCTTGTATTCTAGCTATAGGAAGTTTACAATTCAGTAAGACTTTACATTCTGTAACTTGTATAAATTGAAAATTATATACTTGTCTTAACACTTCTACTTTCTTAAGAAATTAATCCCTTTTGAGTCTTGGATCTCCACATAGTCTGTGGTTACCAATAAATCTCCAGTAGCCCTGGGAAGAAGGTCCCATGGCTGGACTTGCTTCCCGGATACTTACTAAACTGCTCCGGTGATCTAAATGATTCATCGGATGGCTGATTCTTGGCATTTGGGGATTAACAGCTATTTGCACCACTGCTGCCATCACTGGTGTTGCATTACAGACCTCAGTTCAAACACAATTTTATCCAAAATCGGACTAAAGATGCTCATGCTATGTGGGCCACTCAGGCTCAGAGAGATGAGGATATTCAAGATGAAATACAGGAACTAAAAACAGCCATCAAATGGGTTGGAGATCAATAAATAGATGTACAACAACAGGTGATGCTAAAATGTGATTGGAATTTTACTCAATTTTGTTACTCCTGTTCAAGTCAATAATAGTACCTACAACTGGGAACAAATCAAATTTCATTTACAAAACATACATGATAATGCCTCTCTGAATGTACAAGTATTACAGAAAGATATCCTTGAAACCTTTACTAAAAATCTGCCCTCTTCCACTAATTTGGAAACTTTAGCTGAATAACTAGCTTATCTGGGCTAGAGCCACACGGATAGTTTCAAAGCATTACTCACAGCATCAGGTCTGGAACTGTAGTTTTGGTGTTCTGTGGCTTGTATAGATTACAAATTGTATACTTGTCTTAATTCTTCTATTTCTCTAAAAATACAAATCCCTTTGGATTCTTCGATCTCGACATAGTCTGTGGTTGCCAGTAGATCACCAGCAACTCTGGAAAGACGGTCCCATGGCAAGACTTGCCTCCCAGTTACTCACTAAATTACTCAGACGATCTAAGCGATTCACTGGATGGTTGATTCTTGGCATTTTGGGGTTAACAGCCATCACAGACATTGCTTTACAAACTTCAATTCAAACACAAAACTTTATTCAAAATTTGACTAAAGATGCTCATACTATATGGGTCACTCAGGTTCAGGTAGATGAAAAAGTTCAAGATAAAATTCAGGAATTAAAAACAGCCATCCAATGGGTTGGAGATCAATTAATAGATTTACAAAAACAAGTATTATTAAATTGTGATTGGAATTCACATCAATTTTGTATCACCTCTCTTCGGTTCAACTACAGTGCTTACAAGTGGGAACAAATCAAATTTCATTTACAAGATATACATAATAATACTTCCTTACATGTACAATTGTTGCAAAAGGAAATCCTTGAAACCTTCTCTAAGAGTCTACTCTCTTCCAACAATTTGGAAACCTTAGCTGAACAGCTTGCTGCTCATTTATCTGGGTTAGACCCTCGAAGATGGTTTCAAGACATTACACATAGTACTGGATCTGGATCTATAATGCTGATAATTATCCTGGTGATTATATTTGTAATGTACTGATGCCTTTCAACTAAAATTGTTCAAACTAAACAAACTCAATCCATCAGGGCCTTTTTCACAAAAGTGTCTAGAGTCATCCCCAATGATGAAAAAATAAAGGGGGAACTGTCAGGGGATGTTCAACTTTAAGGGATCCAATATGTTATTTTCTTCTTCTGTGTGCCATTTCTCAAGGACTCTCTATTCCTTATGAGTTCCTGGAAAACAGGAACGAGCAGAGCTGCACGCAGTTAGTTCTCAGGACTGAGATCATGAGATAGGGCACCTCCTTGGATTCCTTTCAGAGACTCCCTTCAGTGAACTTTCACTTAAAGGTAATCTATTGAGTTATGCCCCTCTTACTCAGGATATGGAATGCTTTCTGGCACTTTGAAGATTATTTGCTTGGCTTTGTTTCTGCTCAATTTTTTTACTGCCTAAAGCTGCCTTGTATGAAGATATATAAACATGTGGTTCTGCAAATAAAGCACCCTTGTTTCACTCGAGACTTGGGTCCCCTGCGTCCTTCTTCTCATCGACTCCAGTCCCCAGGTCCCGGTCTACAAGGGCCGTGACAGCTCTGTCTTCAATTTCCACAGATAAGAGTAATTCTTCTTTAATCATACATACAACAGTTATTTCTATCCAATGGAGAACATGACCCTTTTCCTATGCATTGTTCCTAGCACACCATCAGTCCCTGGTCACTGTCCCTCTCCTCCTACGAAAAGCCCAGTCCTTTTAACATCTTGCCTACTCTTCTCAAGGTCAGTTGGTAGAATATTATGTTTAATAACAGGCTGGACTATGTAAAGAAGGGCTTCCTGATCCTACTGACCATGATGAGTCATGTCTTAGGTTTACATTATTTTCCACCCTCCCTGTTGCTAATTCACACACACTACTGAATTTTGTAATTCAGGCTGTGTGTTTTTCCAGGAAACAAGGATGTGAATGAATCATATCTAATGAAATCGGCCCCTTCATCTCACTGATTCCTTCCCAGAGACCATCATGAAACGTGTGTAGCAAATGCGTTTGATCAATGTATTACCAAAGCCAAGCTCTTAGAGCTCACCACACAACAGGCCAATAAACTGAGAGACTATTTGTTGGGCAAGGAATAGTAACTTTATTCAGAAAGCCAAGAGACCAAAAAGATGGTGGATTACTGTCCCAAAGAATCATCTTTGCTGAGTTAGAATTTGGGTTTCTTTTACATGAAAAGATCTATACAGCTTCTCTTCAAATATAGGCTTCCTCCAGTGGCTGAGTACCTGAACTAAAGTCATCAGAGAATACATAGAAAAAGGTAAAGGACTAGCCACAACCACTGAGTCTGGGATGCATGGCTCCACTATGTTCCTATCTTGTGACTTTGGGGTAAGCTCCTTGCCACACACTTGACATTGCTGTGTGTTTTCTCCAGGATAAATACTCTGATGCTACTGGAGAGATGTGAGCTGTGAGGACAGGGTTTTTTCTTTCACATTTGTGAAACTGGTGAGGAATCTTTCCAGAATGAATTCATGTTCTACCTGACATGTTCTAACCTGACTAATAAACACATATATATCTGGCTTCTATCCAGTATGAATTTTCCCATGAAGCCTAAGACGTTGCCACACTCATGATATTTGTATGGTTTCTCAGTAGTATGGTTTCTCAGTAGTATGAATTCTCTGACCAACATTAGGGTGTGAAGTTTGAACTTTGAATTCTGAAGACTTCTACCATATACCACATTCACATAAGTTTCTCTCATGTATGGATTTTCTGATGTTACTGAGTGCTGAGACCTGAGTGAAGGATTTTCCACACTCGAAACATTTGAAAGGTTTCTCTATATGTATTCTCCGGTGACTTGTAAGGTGTGAATTGTGACTGAAGAACTTGCCACACTCATTACATCTGAAAGGCCTCTCTCCAGTATGAACTTTTCAATGAAGTCGAAAATGTGGTTTTTGACTCAAGACTTTTCCACACTCATCACATTTGTAAGGTTTCTCTCCAGTATGAACTCTCTGATGACTTAAAAGGATTGACTTTACACAAAAGGCCTTGCAACACTCATCACATTTGTAAGGTTTCTCTCCAGTATGAACTGTCTGATGCCTTAAAAGGATTGATTTTACACGAAAGGCCTTGCCACACTCATCACATTTGTAAGGTTTTTCTCCAGTATGAAATCTCTTATGACTTCTGAACTGTGAAGAGTGACTAGAGTGCTTGCTACACTCATTATATTTGTAAGGTTTCTCTCCAGTATGAACCCTCTGATGAACAGCAAGGTATGCATTTTGCCTGAAGACTTTGTTACAGATATCACATTTAAATAGTTTCTCTCCTGTATGAATTTTCTGATGTCTCCTGAGGTGTGAGCCATCAGTAAAGGTTTTGCCACACTCACTACATTTGTAACATGTCACTTCAGAATGAATTTTCAAATGACGTGCAAGCTGTGAACTTTGATCAAACAATTTGTCACGGACTTCACGTTTATGTAATTTCTCTCTTGTATGGATGGCCTGATGTTTAATGAGGTATGAGCCCTTAAGATAGGCTTTCCCACACTCATCACATTTGCAAGGTTTTACCCTGTGTGCTTTGAGGTCTTGTGTTATTACTGAAAGATTGCTAAAATCATTCCCATATATATTAGAAACACTGGTTTGGACACAAGGAGGAATTCTTTGAAGTGGTGAAAATGAGAAACTGTTGTTGACAGACCTCTCAACCTCATTATATTCAGAAATTGTCCTGCCAGTTTCAATTATCTGCAGTTTTTCCTGAAAGTTAAACCCAAGCCTGTTTCCCAAGGGCTTGATTCCTACATCCTTTCTATCATGTGAATCTCTTCTATCAGGCACATTTCCATCAAGGCTTACAGGTGATTCTTTCTCATTTCTTTTGTCATCTCTCCACTGACACTCAAAGTCACATATATTTTCCTGACTTTCCAAAAGATGAAAATGTTTGATTTCACAGCTTTCAGATCTTCCCAGCATCAATGTTTGGAATGGTTCTCGTTTATCACTGTTCGCTTTGGGTTGTAAACGCTTGATCACATGTGTAGGAGAGATATCTACAAGATAAAAAGAACCATAGGTACCTGCTCACAATAATTCAAAAATAAATGTTTCATGTTGAATATCTATTACACCAAAAGTAATACACCAAGTTGTGAAACACCACAATGATGACCTTAAGCTTTTAGAAACACTAAAGGAATAGAATTCTTAACATGAGAAAGCATGATAACATAAATTCACCGTTAAAGTAGCCTAGTTTAAAAACCATATGCCAAACACACTCATATTGGACAATATTATGGCAACTCTCAAAAATAGAGTTAGTTTTCTACCAGGATCCCTAGTAACATATCAATCAATAGTTGTCTCAAGTTGAAAAGAAAAATATTACACTATCATTGTATTCTGCATACTTACTATACATAAATAAATTCTAAGCAATATATTATATATTGTAACAGTAAATAATCCAAAACCAAGCTAACCCAATTAATAATGAACTATCCATAATTTGTTGTTTACAATTGAAGACAAATGAGAAAATGAAGAAGATGACTAAAACAAATTTTTGGAAACAACAGTTTTCTAAATCTGCTACAGAACTACGTACCCAAAAAGAAAAGGCATTTTACAATGTTAACAAGTAGTATGTGTCAGCTGTATTGCAGAATACACGCTAAAAGACCATCATCTGTAAATGACACAAATTGAGACGTAAAATATTCACCAGTTTTCTAACAGCCAAGAACCAAAGCAATCCCTACCTATGTTGTTGTTCAGTCGCTCAGTTGTGTTTGATTCTTTGCGACCCCGGGTACTGTAGCCCACAGGACTCCTCTGTCCATGGGATTTCCCAGGCAAGAATAATGGAGTGGGTTGCCATTTCCTTCTCCATGGGATCTTCCTGACTCGGGGATCAAACCTGCATCTTCTGCATTAGCAGGTGAATTCTTGACCACTGAGTCACCAAGGAAGGCTAATCCCTAGCCGTGCACTATTCTTAATTACCTGGTTTAATGGCACCAAAGTATAATAAATAAAAAGTGAGTGCTCTGTGTGTTTATTGACTAGGGTCAGACACAGTATTGCTGAAAAATGTTGCAAGTGAAAAGCGTACAAGATATAATGGAGTTGAGGTTTGACAGAAAACAAAATTCTATAAGCAATTATCTTTCAATTAAAAAATAAATAAAATTTTAAACAGATATAATGTAGATAAAGTCATATATATCATCAAGAACATGACAGAATGTAGATATTACCTTTCTTAAACAAAAGTAAATGTTGAGTATTTACTATAAAACATGCACTAGTGTAAGCCAACTGACAGCACTCATTTGCTTTAAAAGGCTTCAGGTAAATTAACATGTTTTTCTCTAATCAGAGCAGGAGACATATCCAATTGGCCCACAAAGTGGTAAGAGTACCAGGATATGGATCTGAACCTACAGACTGAGAAAAATTATTTGTAAACATGACCACCCACCGAATGAATAGATTAGAAAATATTAGAAAAAAAATACAAGGAACTTAGAAAATATCAAGGAAAACACAAGACAGAAGTAGTCTCTTTAACTCTTGTTCAACCATCCCATCTCGAAATGGTTTGTGAGTCATCATGGATGCAGAGAGTGATTGAGGTCAAGTCCTGAGAAACTTGTTCAATAAATGATCAGAGATTATCTTTACAGTGAGAGCATGTAGAAGGCGGAGGGATGTGGTAGGTAAGAACAATGTTTCCATCCATATCAAGGTACTATGTGAGGAATGGTCAGGACTAACAAAGGGCCTGTGTGGAGCATAGGGTACACAAGCTGATGTTAGATATCAGCTTGGGACTGCATGTCTTTGTGAAAATAACTGAGAGTGCAAACTAATATACTGACCTGAAAAGAAAAGAACTGGTTCAGCAAGTTTATGGGCATTATACTATGGGTATGGGACAGAAACAGGTGAGATTTTAAAAGTGACTATGTGGTAATATATGATATCACCATATATGTGGTGATATATGGAGAAAGCAGGATAATACCTGTTATACTATTTACAATGTAATGTATCCAACTGTGAATTTTGTACGTTACAATGGAATGCTTATATTCAAGAAAAACATACACAATATTCCAGGATATTGTATAAGAATCTTATTAGCAGAAATCAGAAGGAAAATCTAGGAAAAGCCTATCTAAACCTGGGTTCCTTTGCCAAGTATGATTAACCTCTCTATTGGACATTCATTTCTTCTTCCACACATGTTCATCTCAAGATCGAGGAGTATCAAAGAAAACGAGGGATTGAAATTGACTCTGGAGGACCATCCCAGTTACAAAAGCCTTTCTGAGGCTTCCAACTCCTTTTTGTAGAAAAAGGCTTTATTCTTCTAGACCTTCCCTGAGTTCTAAAGTGCAGATTCAAACAGTTACTAATACACAAAAGGATCATAAACTATGATCCAGTGGGATTTATTGCAGGGATGCAAGATTTCTCAATATCCACAAGTTATTCAGTATGATACACCACATTACAGTTGAAGACTAAAAACCATACGATCATCAGTAGATGCAGTAAAGGTTCTGACAAAATTCAAGTGCCATTTATGATAAAAACCCTTCAGAAAGTCAGCACAGATGGACCCTACCTCAACATAATTAAGACTGTATATGTCAAACACACAGCTAACATCATACTCAACAGGGAAAAACTGAAATCATTCCCCTTAACACCATGAGTAAGACAAGAATGTTCACTACTGCCACCTCTATTGAACATATTTTTGGAAGTCCTAGCCACAACAATCAGAAAAGAAAAAGAAATAAAAGGAACTTAAGTTAAAAAAAATAAAGAAGTAAAACTGTCACTATGATGCTACACACAGAAAATCCCGAAGATGCCACCAGATGACTACTAGACCTCATCATGAACAGAGTAAACTTGCTGGATACAAAATATATAGAAAACTGCCTCATTTCTATACAGTAATAATAATATATCAGAAAGTGAAATTAATGAAACAGAGTCTCCAATGCCAGAAAATAACCTGGGAAGATGCATCAGGCCCTCGTGATACTTTCTCTCTCATAATCCTGGAACATACTGACCACTCTACTGGATAGCTTCAAGTGGTGACTTTGAACGGAGCAAGAAAATAACATTAAGAATAGTGTCTCCATTAGAGTTTTCTGTTACCTAGTAAATCCACTCCACAGAGACTCACCAGAGGCTGCCAATTAAACATAGGTGGATTATCACAGCAAGGAAACCTGATAAAACTGCAGATCCTCAGGAATATATTTCAAAGAAATTTAAGAAGTAAAATGTTACAAAGTAAGGAGAATGTAACACTGGGAACGGCTGGCATTCCCAGACTGGGTAGAGCAGCACAAGAGTAAAAATAATACAACACAAAGGTCCGACATTACAGGATCTTGAGATGGGACCATGAGCTCGACCTACAGATGGCAAGCTAAGAGCCTGCGAGATTCACATATGCTCCCCTTGTAGGATCTAGGATCAAAAAGACGATCTCTCTACCCACTCTCCTTACATCTTCCTAAGTAACAACCACAGAGGATCCAATCCACCAGCTTGTCCCACTCCTAACCAGAAAAAAACAGCCCTTTTGAGATACTCGTTTTTCTTTATACGTTGTATCTTTGGCTATTTTTACATCACTCCCCATTGTCTAGAGCTTTCTCTAGTGCTCCAATGTGGAGATAATATTCAGATCAGAAACAGAAATTCTGGGACTCCCCTGGTGATCCAGTGGTTAAGATGCTGCACTTCCAATGCAGGGGGTTCAGGTGTGAATCTTAGTCAGAGAGCTAAGATCCCACATGCAGAATGGTGCAGCCAAAAAAAAGTAAAAAAGCAAGCAAAAACAAACAAACAAAAATAGATATTCAGGGTTATCAGAAGAAAGAAATCTAAAGTGCTGTGGATTTTTTTAAACACTGAGTCAAAAGTCAAAAGGTAGAAAATACGAAATCAGGTTTCTTGGTCTTTTTCTTTTAACGTTTGCCAGCGAGCTTTGGACATAATTAAGCTTTTGGGACAACCTCAGATGTGACATGAGACAGGCATAGCATCTGAAGCGGGTCAGTTTAACCTTGTGAAGCTGTGTCATGCCTGAGTCACCAGGACTCTCAGATGAAAGACATCAGGGCCTCCCAAGGGGCACACAGGGAAAATGCAGATACCCAGTGGCAGCTCTGGAAGGAAGTCATCCTCACCCACAGACAGTAGGTTCCTGTAGGTCTCCATCATCACATCCCTGTACAAGGCCCTCTGAGCAGGGTCCAGGAATTCCCATTCCTCCTGAGTGAATTCGATGGCCACATCCTCAGAGGTCAGTTGTTCCTGAAATGAAACCACATGTCACCAAAAGGGCCATGAAAAGTTCTCATTTTCATGCAAAAGAGAAAGGATAGTAAGAAGGGGTAAGGGCTAAGAATTGACTGGGTTGAAGTATGTGTTCTAACAGATCCATGCAGGGGTATCTGAAGAAATTATGGATCTCTAATTTTAATTTCTTATGCTTTTTCATAAGACCTTATGAGATCCTCCAATTAATATGGACTTTTCAACAGTGTTCAAAATTCATGAACTATATATAAATAAAATTCAACACTGTATTGGCTATACAGAAGTGTCAGATATTACATTCGACCCAGTGAGTGTAATTCATTATCCAGATGAGGTATAGCATGAGTGGTGCCTTCAGAGATGATGAAGTCCACAGCACTTTTAATGGAAAGGTCAAAATTTTCAGTTATGATGTTGAGAACAGCAGCAAGGACCCAAAGTGTTTGAAGGGTTTCTGTTGCTTTCAATCACTGCATGATTACTCTAAACATTTAATAAGTAAGTTACAGGCAAGAACCTGTCATCAATATAATAGCTCATTAAAGAACAATCTGTTCCCACCTTACAGAAGAAAAACTGTGTCATAGACACTTTGAGAAACTCGACTCAGATCAAGAAGGTAAGAAATGTTACACGAAGCACCTGAACTCAGAGACTTGGGCTGAGCCACTTAAGCTTAAGCATCTAACAGTTAAGTAATACAGAGAACATTAACAGTCCTTTGACACAGGGCTCCTAAAGAAAATTTGAAAGAAGTCCAAGGCGAGCCTCCTCCCTGCCCCTCTGTCTCCTCTGCAGGGGGAGCACCACTCAGGCCCCGGGCCTTCATCCCCTGAAAATGGACGCCTGCGCTGAATTCGTCTCCACCCCCTCCCTGATAGGGAGAACCTCCCGCCTGCTGAGTGATCACTGTCCGCAGTGGTGAAAGACCGGAGACACTGACCAATGAGGGCCACGGCAGCGTGGCAGCCCCGGGTCCCCGGACCATCTCACTCATTCCTAGCCGCAGCTTCCAAACCAGCGCCATCTCACGGGGCTCTGACATAGCAGCCAAGTGCCCTGGAGCCGGAGCTGCCAGAGCAGGGGAGGCGGGGTCCAGGGCTGGAGGTGGGACCATGGGCGGGAGCGTCATCACTGTTACCCAGGAACCCTTCTCTGAAACAGCAGCTCGTCTGCACCGTGGGCTTGGCCCTCTCAAAGGCCATGGGGCTCTTTTGCCTGATGGTGCTCTAGCTCATCTTCCTCACACGTGAAGGAGCTGCTTCCACCTCCCACAGTTCTTTCTCCTGTGTCTGCCCTGCGTGTTCCCTTTCCTGTAACTGCCCAGGCAGTCTGGGGACAGTGGTGGGCTCAGGGGTTGACAGAAGGAAAGCAAATAAATATTGTATTAATGTGAAAAAAAAAAAAGTCCAAGGTGAACAATGTGGAATGGCATGAAAGGTCATTAGAGAAATGAATACAGAAACACAACTGTTAGCAATTTACTACTTAAAACACTAACAGGATTCCCATAGAAAATTTCAAGGCCACAGACTGTAGTGATAACATAAGTTCAACTGAAAAAAAAACATAATATGTAGGTTTTAAATCAAGATGTCTTCTATCTAAACCACAGACTTGCAGATGAATGCATACATATCTATAAAAAGTTAACTGAAAAAATAAAAAATTAAAAATTAACTGAAATGAGAGGATTTGTCTCTTGACAGATTTTTTGGACAATTTTACATCATCCTTTTATTCACATGTATTTCAGCATCTTCCAGATGATAATAGTGTATACTTTGTACTCAGTTGAGTTTGTCAACAGGATTCTATACTAGCCTACCAAAAGAAAACTGGTAAAAACATTAAAAAAAAAAAAAGAATACTTGAACTCAATTCATAATAAAATTACCATATACAAAAATACAATTTGATCCATTTAAATTTACATAGTAAAGCATTAACAGAAGCCAAAGACTTTCTTTCTTTTTTTTTCCATTAATAAAACAGTGATTTGAAATTAGAAGAGTCATTAGATATAACAAAAAAAAATTATCACAAGAGTAAAGTAAAAAAACTTCTTGGAGAATTAAAAACCATGGCAAAAAAAGAATATAGAAAAAAATATAGTTATTAAGCAAGACTATCTCAAGAAACATCATGATGGGAAGGAAACATTCAATACATTCCTTCTGAAATTACAGTGGCATGAAAGGAGCTGTCCAGGGTGCCTATCTTTCACCAGGATAGGATGCCTATCTTTCACCAGGATAGGATGCCCATGAGCAGGGGCCACTAGAAGAAGTAACAGGAGGAAAAACACAGGGCAAGAGACACAGAGTTTGTCAGAGAGTTGAAACAGGTAGTACTCACTAATCTAAGGACATGGAAAGGTGAAAAGTGAAAGAATGCAAAAAGACAGTCCATCCTAAAGAGAGTAGGGGAGACTGTTATATCAGACAAAATAAACTGAAGAAAAAACAAGTGCAATGAGATAAATATTGTAGAATGATAAAATGGTCACTCTACCAAAAAGCTGTAACAAGTAAAAATATATATACATCTAACATTAGATATCTCAGACAAATGAAGCAAACATTAAGAGAAAGGAAGACAGAAAGAGTGGCACAGGAATAGTATGAGATTTCAATGCCCAGGTTGAACAAGCATGTACACATCACATGGCCCAACAAAAGCATAAAACACATACATCTCAAGGACATATAAAACATTCTCAATGAGAGACCACATGTTAGGTCAAAATTTAAAATTTTAAGAGACTGATGCTATAAAAGTATCTTCCCCAACAACGAAATAAACACAAGAAAAAAAGAAAATTGCCCAAATGTGGCCATTAAACAACTTACTCTTATACCACAAATGGGTCTAAGACAAAAATCACATGGAAAATTTTAAATACGTGGATGAAAACGAAAAGACTAACAGTACAAAATTTATAATACACAAACAAGACTGTATTAAAAGAAAGTGTGAACTGTTAAATGCTTACAGTATAAAAGAGAAAAGATCTTAAATCTGAAATCTATTGCTAGATCTCTAGCAAGTAGAAAACGGAAAACAAACTAAACTCAAGTTTAGCAGAAGGAAACAGGTAAATAAGAAAGATTAAACCAGAGAAAATAGAAAGTAGAAAAACATAAAAATCAACAAACCAAGAGTTGATGTTTTGAAAAAACTGTATAGGAAAACCCCCACCTAAGGAAAAGAGAAAACCAGATTCAAATAACGAAAAACAGATATGAAACAGGAGTGATTACAACTGAGGTCAAAGAAACTTTCTACAGATAAGGAAGTACTAGGACCAATAATGCCTATAAATGACAGAATACATCCAAGTTGAACAGGCATGTATAGATCACACGGCCCAACAAAAGTATGAAACACATGCATCTCAAGGACACATAAAACATTCTCTGTGAGAGACCACATGCTAGCTCAAAATTAATAATTTTAAGAGACTGATACTATAAAAGTATCTTCCCTAACAACAATGAAATAAACACAAGTAAAAAAGAAAATTCCCCAAATGTAGACATTAAACAACTTACACTACCAATGGGTCTAAGAAAATATCACATGGAAAATCTTAAATAGATGGATGAAAACGAAAAGACAACATTAAAAAATTTATAACACACAGAGAAGACTACTAAAAGGAAAGTCTGAACTGTTAAATGCTTGCGGTAGACAAGAGAAAAGATCTTAAATCTGAAATCTATTTTTAGACCTCTAGGAAGCAGAAAATGGAAAACAAACTAAATACAAGTTTAGCAGAAGGAATTAGGTAAATAAGGAAGATTAAACCAGAGATAAACTAGAAAATAGAAAAACATAAAAATCAACAAACTAAGAGTTGATGTTTTGAAAAAACTGGATAGGTAAACCCCCACCTAGACTAAGGAAAAGAGAAAAAAAGATTCGAACAACTAAAAACAGATATGAAACAGGAGTGATTACAACTGAGGTCAAAGAAAGTTTCTACAGATAAGGAAGTACTATGACCAATAATGCCTATAAATGACAGAATACAGGAGATACTGGCAAATTCTCAGAAACATACAAAGTATTTTACATATTAAGAAATTATAAAACTGAGAAGTGTTGAAAGTGAAAGTGTTAGTCACTCAGTCATGTCTGACACTTTGTGACCTCATGGACTGTAGCCCACAAGGCTCCTCTGTCCATGGAATTTCTCCAGACAATAATACTTGATTAGCCAGCCATTCCTTTCTCCAGGGAATCTTCCCACCCAGGGATAGAACCTGGGTCTCCCGCACTGCAGGCAGATTCTTTATGATTTGAGTCACCAGGGAAGCCCATTATAACTAGAGAGATTTAAAAAGTAGTCACAAACCTCTAAGAAAAATACAGGACCAAATTCTAACAAACATTTACAAAAGAATTACCAGTAATCTTGCTAATTCTATGGAGCAAGCATGACTCTAATAGTTTGCTGATTTCCCAAAGACACAAGAAAGAAAAACTAGAAACCAATACCCCTGATGAATACTGATGCAAAATTAAAATACTTGCAAACCAACTTCAACACGTATTAAAAAGATCTGGAGAAACAGACATAGAGAACAAATGGAGGGGGAAGAGGAGGAAGGAGAGGGTGAGATGTATGGAGAGAGTAACATGGAAACTTACATTACCATATGTAAAGTAGAGAGCCAAAGGGAATTTGCTCAGTGACTCAGGGAGCTCAAACAGAAGCTCTCTAAAAACCTACAGGGGTGGGATAGGGAGAAGATGGGAGAGAGGGGACATATGTATAGCTGTGGCTGATTCATGTATGTATTTGGCAGAAAACAACAACTTCTGTAAAGCAATTATCCTTCACTTAAAATAATTTAAATAAATAAATAAAAAGATCTGACACCATGACCAAGTGGATTTTATTTATATAAGGCAAGGAGAAGTCAACATATAAAGATAAATTAATATGACACAATACATTAACAGAATACAGGGGAAAAAAAACAGGATCATCTCGATGCAGAAAAAACAATTTGACAAAAATTTGACAACCTTTCAAGATGGAACACTCAACAAACTACAAACAATAAATTATACCAACATCAACATAAGAAATGCCATTATGAAAAGAGCACAGCAATGGGGAAAGAATGAAAGCTTTTCCTCTGAGGTCAAGAAGAAGGCAAGGATGTACACTCTGCACTACAGTTCAACATAAGCAAATTGAAAAAGAAGTAAATTTACCTTCTTTCCCAAAAGACAAAGTTTCATAGGTAAAAAACATAAAGATTACAAAAGAAACATGCTATATCAAAAAAGATTCTTTAATAACCACACAAAGGATCAATCAACCAATTAACTCATTATCAAAACGGCCATGGCAATCTATGTAGAAGCAGAATAAAACATGGTGAAAGTCACAGGACTATTCAAAGAGCAAACAGCAAAACTCTTGAAGAAGGAAGATGGAGGTCTTTCTATTTCAAAACCTATTACAAGGTAATCAAGGTGATGTAGTACTGGCATAAAAACAGAAGATAAACCAACTGAACAGAAAACAGTACTCAGAAATAATGCTTTGTGTATATGTAAGGTATATTCACAAGGATGTTAAGATACACAAAAGGGAAAGGACAGTCTCAATTGATCTGATTCCCAGATTTTACCAGCTATTGTGCATATTAATACCTGATTTTCATGGGCAGTTTCCTTACCCTGGTTGACAGAGCAGACAGCACATCCAGATGGGCCCTAAGCAATCCCTGCTGCCCAACAGCACTGAGACCCCGTGTCCAACCCGTGGGTGAGAAGCCCTGCCCAGGACGGTGCCCAGGGGAGCCTCCTCACAAGGGCCAGGTCACCGGCTCATGGGGAGATGGGATCTAAGTGGAGACGACAGGCCCTGAAGGAAGGCCCTGGGTGAGTGTGCAAGTACAGGAGTCAGACAGGACACTGCAGAGTCAGACACGATTAGCGAGTCCAGAGAAGGGCATTTCAGGAAGGACAGACTAAATATGACCTTACCTGAGAAAGAGCCATGCCTGACTCCTTTTCTTTCCTCTTCCTCAACTTCAGGGCTTCCTCAGGCAACACAAGTCTTCAGAGGTCTATCATGAAAGTGAAAACATGCTGTTTAATGCTTAGAGTCAACACATCACCCTCCTGAGCCCCAACCACACACACAAGGAAGCCCTCACCATGAGGAACAGACAGGCCCCTGTGGCCACTGTCTCAGGAGGGACTCAGGACAGTCAACTCCCACAGAGACCAACACCAGACTTTCCCACACTTTCCCTGGGATCACACTCCCCTGCTGGTGAGGCCTCATGTACACAGCAGCAGGGGGCACCCCCAAAGACCAGGCAGTCTCTTTCAGGTCACACCGAAGGCCCTGATCCATCCCCACTCAGAACAGAGCACCCCCTCCTCAGCCTAGATCTCAGCCCTCAGGAATGAGAGGACTCAGAGTCCTGATGCTCAGTGAGGGATCCAGATTGGAATCACCTGGGGCATCTTAAACATTCTCAGGCTATGGACCAACACAAACTACTTGAAGGGGAAATCTCTGGTCAGAGGGTACAAAACATGGGTATGCAAAATGCCTCATCAATGAAATGTGAAGCCTGGACTGAGCACCATTCAGAGAAGAAAAGCACCCCCAACTCTCTTTTTCTTTCCCAGCCTTCCTTATGTGTAACTAACAAAAATGCTATAAATGTACTGTGTACAAAGTGATCATGTGACAGACTCATACACTGAATAATTATTAGTCGAGTAAGTTACAGTTCCACCTATGAGTACACTGTATTATAACTCTCTGGGCGACTTTCAAGTATATAGAAACACTACAGGCAGCTTTTCCCTCCGAGAAGGCATCGGAGACGGACTATACAGCCATGGCCAAGATTAAGGCTCGAGACCTTCGAGGCAAGGAGGAGGAGGAGCTGCTGAAACAGATTGGAGGACCTGAAGGCGGAACTGTCCCTGCTGCACGTGGGTAAAGTGACAGGCAGCGCGGCTTCCAAACTCTCCAAGATCCGAGTGGTTCGTAAATCCATCGCCCGTGTACTGACCGTCATTAACCAGACTCAGAAAGAGAACCTCAGGAAATTCTATAAGGGCAAGAAGTATAAGCCCCTGGATCTGCAGCCCAAGAAAACACGTGCCATGCGCCGCTGGCTCAACAAGCATGAAGAGAACCTGAAGACCAAGAAGCAGCAGCGGAAGGAGCGGCTGTAAGCACTCCAGAAGTACGCAGTCAAGGCCTGAGCTTCCAGCTGTGAATAAAACAGACAGACCACTGGAAAAAAATAAAAAGAAACACTACAGGCAGCATGCAGTACCTCAGATCCCCAGAACTTACTTAGTTTACAACCGAAAATCTCTACTCTTTGACTAACAGTGTCCCATTTCCCCCTCCACCCAGCTCCTGGTAACAGCCTTATTACTCGATGGCTCTATGAGTTTGACAATTCTAGTTTCCACATACAGTATCTGTCCTCCTTTGTCAGCCTTATTTAACTTGGCATAATGTTTTCTAGGTTCATTCACTTTGGCATAAATGCAGGACCCTTGATTTTTATATTTATATATAGAGAAAAAAAAGTTCATGAACATACAGTATTAAATAAATATTTCTACACCACACTTTTTTTTACCTATTCTTTTGTCAAGAGACATCTGGCCTGTGTCTATGCCTTGGCTACTGCAAATCGTCACACTCATGGGACTGCGGACATATTACGTGTGGTCATGAGTTGTCCAATCAAACCTGTGCAGGCAAATCTCAGCCTCAGCATTGCTGTCCCAGGGAACATGAGCTAAGGCATTAGAACACCTCAAACCATTCCATGCGGGTTCTTCAACAAACCCACGTCCAGGTTCTCCAGCCTGAACTGAGACATTCTTTTCCAACAGATCCGCACACCCCTTTCCCCTGTAACTACACTTGGGATGGGCGAACACTCCATTCCCTGGACTCACCTTGATGCCCCCAAGAACTGCCACAGGCCTCCTGCAGACCCCACCAGGCTCCCTCCACTTTCCCCATTTGTCTACCTCTCCTACCTGCATGACTGGACTAAGCAAGACTAAAGTGCACAGGGGTTTCTTGGCAAAGGGGATCACAAGAGGAATGCACACCAGCTACCACCCAAATGACACTGCACATTCAGTATGAAAATCAAGAAACTGGCCCTCCTGGGAAGGTCTGCCACCACCTGGGGACATTATGGAGTCCAGGTGCAGAGAAAGGGATCTGAGATGAGGAACTCTCAATTTAAGGGTCTCCAGGTCTCACTATCTCCTATTCTCTCCATCCACACCTACTTGGAAGATATTCTAGCTCTTGATTTAGGGGGTGGGGGCGGGGGCGAGACAGCATCTCCTTCCAGCCCCGTTAGGTTTTGGATTTCTGCTCATCCTCAGTGCTCTGAAATCACAATTGCTGACACTGAGCACATGAACTCCTAGATGGCAAAGCTGCTGTCCACGATGGTGACTGGTCCCTGGATGGACAGAGCTTATCTGGGAGCTGCAGCAGACTAAACTCAGCAGACTAAACATGGGGACATCTTAGTCCACTGCTTGAGGACACCAGTTCTGGAGGGCTTTTCAGGACTTCTTGTATTTCTTAGCTCTTCTTTTGAGTAATTAAGTAGTCACATGGGTTAAAGGTCAATTACAGCTGAAATGTCCAGAACATGGGAAACATCTTCATCACCTGCCCTGTTCTCTTGGTCTTCCCTGAGGATTATTCAGCCCAGCCCATAGTCCTGTCATCTAAAGACATTTCCAGTATCAGGTACTGCAGCCACTTTGGGAAGAAGAGGAACACTATGAGCCCCAAAAAGAGGGTAACCAGGAAGGACTCAAAATAACCCATGAAGAAGGGCAATAACCTCTGCTGATGGCAACTGATAGAGGCAATAAACCTGGGTAACATGAGAGAGACTGTTAGGAGGGGATGGGGAGACCTCTCTGAGCCTAGACTTGAAGGGAGACAAAGGGCCTGAGCCAGGGTGACCTGAAGGTGAGGAAAGGAACTATGACGTCAGACAGAAATGGTTTTGGTATTTGGAAACAGAGAAAAGGTAAAGGAGAGCACGACAGGCTGAGCCATGAGCAAAGGGTCAGCTCCCAGGATGAGGCTGGAGACACTGACAGGGCCCTGAGCTTGACAAGAGGGCTGTGGAGCCACAGCGAGGAGTCAAGTTTTAGTCCCAAGAACAAATGAAAGCCAGCGGAGGTGTGAATGTCAGGACGTGAAAAAAACTCCCTTCAGATTTAGCCTTATTCATAGCAATCATCTCATTCAGAGACTGTGATCCTGCCTCCATCCTACAGTTTTCCTTTTCGTTTTTCATTCAGGGAGGGCTGGGATCTACTTAAAATTCTAGTTACCACCAGACACTCCCTCCAAACCAGAACTGCCACACACACACACACACACACACACACACAGACACTTTGGCTAATCATTTCAGGGGTCAGAGCTGCTCACGTTCCAGTCTAGTCTAGTCTCTTGTCTAGTCTCTCATCTCCATGTTACAAGCGGGCTCCCTCAGACCCAGAGAGAAGCCGTTTATGAGAAGGTCTGAGCTGAGTGAAGAGAACCAGGTATAACTGAATAAAGAAACGGGAGGGTAAAGGGCAAGCGGGCCAGGTTTGTCCTTATTGCCCGTCCCATTTAACACCAGGAACATCTGCCATGTATCTGAGCAAAAGAAACTTTTCTTTCACGGTTGGGTCAAACTGATACCAAGCAGGTAATTCTTTATTATAAGATTGCAGTAAAATATTTTAAAAATACAGAATTGCAAATATCTATCCACTGGTACAAGAAACTTCTAAGAGGTCAGCTTAGAAATAGGATCTGAGCAATCTTTTTCATCATGAATAGAGAGGCTCTTGGAAGGTTCCAGGTCAATCCAGCCCATCCCTCCTCAATTGCACAGCAGTCAAAAAGGGACCCAGGTCACTTACCTACACGGGGTGAAGGGATGGGCTGACAGGAAAGGGGGTCCTGCGGGGCACAAGGAGCGGCCTAGGAGATGCCAGGACAGAGGGGCTGCGAGGGAAGGGGTCTCAGGAGTGGGGCGGGCTCTCCGGAATCCCAGGACCGGGGAGAGGGCGCGGCCTCTCCGGGAGGAGGGGCGAGGGGGTCTGCCTCCAGCGGTCGAGAAGGCGACGCGGCGGGGAGGGGCGCAACTGCAACTCCTGAGAGAGGGCTTTACCTGGCGAGGCCAGAGGTAGAAAAGGGTTTTAAGCAGGAAAACGTCGCCAGAGTTAGTGTCCACGGGGACCGAGGGCCAAAACCGCCTCAGAAACACTTAAAACCCGAACGAAAATATAACTGGGCCGCAACGGCAGCGGCAGCGTTTATTCCGGGCCGAGCACCGGGTGCCAGGGTTTTCAGGTCGCTGAGAATTCCCACACCTGAGGACGAGTGAGCCGGCGTGGGCCGGGACGGGTAGGGTTGGGAGTGGCGGGCTGTGCAAACTTACCCTAGAAGGAACCTCGGGCGCCGCTGCGGTACCTCGGCTCCGCGCTCTCCAACTTCCGGCCCGTGAGGAAGGGCTTTTGCTATCAGAGCCCTGGCTTCCGACGAGGGGCGGGGCGAGCACCCCTGTGAGGAGTGCCACTGCTCGAGGGAGGGGCGGGGCCTGTCACCTTGACAGCATTATGTTACATCTGTAACACTGCTCAGGTAAAAGCTTCAAGTTATGTCAGAAGGCAAGATACTTCCTCTGAAGACTAAAAGGGTT